GAACCCAATAAATAAATAAATAAATAAATAAAATAAAATAAAATAAAATAATAGCTCACCAGGAAAGGCCCTACAACTAAATATTCCAGAGGTTGAGATCTTCTTTAACCCACTACAGCCTAAAGGAGGTGGTAACTTTCTCTGGGACCCTCATGTGCTTAGCTGAGTCAAGCAGCAGAGGCAAAGAGTATCTCCCTGTTTGATATTAAATCCTGACACCAGGACTTGAACTGAAATTACTATCCTCACTTCCCAGGGCCGGTAGGTGACCACTATAAGTTAGCAATAGCACAGTGATTGCAGAATTGATCTGTCTAGCTTCAGAGCCTGCTAAGTAGCTTCTAAATTTACTTTAGCAGACTTTCTTGACCAGCTCTGCTTTCCTCACTTGGGAAAACCTAACCTGTGTTCTGTGGAAGCTACTGATCTGGTGCATTCTACTCTACCAGATTCCCTCAGCAGAGGGAGTGCCGAAAACAGTGCTCGGGCAGTTGGTGGGTGCTTCTTGCTCATCTCTAGCTACAAACAGGACCAACCAGAGAGAGAGGACCTAGGGATAAATTTAGATCAGTCTGGGCCCTTTTGGATCATAGAGTTGTGCCTTCAGACTAGCAGTCAGATGTGCATGGGGGAGGGGAAGAGCAGTCCTTAATTTCACACAGAAGGAAGGCAGTGAGGAGTATCCTGAAGGAGGAAAGCCTATTTGCTTCCCTCTCTCAGCATCATCTTCTGGAGGGAACCCATCTCCTCCCCAATCCTGTACCTGGAAGGCATGCCTCAGAAGGATCAGTGACAGTCTTGATCAGCAAGTTCATTTCTGATGCAACAGGACTCCCCTTGTGCACGAATTTATTTGGGGTGGAAAGCTGGAAAGAATGCAAATGTGCTTAGGATAGATAATTTTGAGCCAAGTTCATAGTCATTTTAGGGTCTTATGAAAAATTGAGTCTTTTTACATTTTGGAAGAAAATCATGAATTGTATTATAATTGGTTTTTTTAAATTTTTGATGATGGCTTCTCTGCAAACATTATGAGTTAATATAATAGGTGAGTGATAATACTAGTGTTAACAACTGACATTATAGAGTAGATGTTATGTGCCAGGCACAGTAACTCATTTAATCCCCCCACAACCTTCACCGTTTTACAAATGAGGAAACTAAGGCAAGAGAAATTAGGGAATTTGCTTGACTTGTGTCAAAACCAGGATATTAAGAAAAGCTTATTTTCATTTAATGATGATATATATAAAAGCAATTCTAGAAACATCGTTAGTTCAGAGGAGAGTGGGCAGTGTGCTTCTGAAATGGATTTTCACATAGTGGCATTTTAGAAGGTATTTAAATCACACAGGTCTGAGCTGTTCTCTAAAGATCTGGGTATGGTTTTATACAAAGACATCTTATGAAGTTTTCAACATGGCTCCTAATTTGGGGGCATCTCATGGCTCAAATTTCTGTCCCTTCTGGAACTTCAATTCAAGGTGTTCCCAATTAACGATGACTTTGAACACTGACCCCTGCAGTACAGTGTGCCTCTCCCCCCGGGTGGTCTTTCTGTGGATGCACAAGGCGCTTTGTGTGCACGCAACCAAGGCAAGCAGAAGTTCACCACTTCTCCAGTTCCCCAGAAAAGGTATGGCATCGATTTAAAACTTCAACATTATTTTCCAGGTTTAGGGGCTGGAAATATCTGAGTAAGTAAGTTTAAAAATAGTCTTGTATTTTTCTGCTTATTAGACCTTTCATATAGAACTCAAAATTAGTTTAAAAGAAGAACAAGTGTTAGGAACTTTAATGGCACAGAAATAATGCTTTTTTTTTTTTTTTTGGTGTCGTGTATCAGTATCACTTATTCATAATTACCTGGAAAGTTCTTTTTCTCCCACCATGTTAATACTTAAAAAAAACAGAAAACTTAAACTTTCTGGTGGGTTCCTCCCCACTAAAGGATTAAAATAACACTTTTTGTGCTCTGTACATATCAATTGGATTTTTACTGAGAATTTTAATTTATCCTTGAGATACTTGATGAAAGCACCTAAGTTATAATTTAGCATACTGACCTTGACAAATAATAAATGAAAGATGAGTGTGCCTATCCACACGATGAAATATTTGTAATAAAAAGTTAAGTGCTATTTAACTGCTAGGAAATGAAATATCCTCATAAAACAAAATTAGCATGTTAATAGTATGTATAATATTTTTGCATTTTTAGCCAATCTTGCATTTCCAAACTGGCATTATCTAAATTAGTTGAACTTTGCAGTGTTTGAAAAATCACCGTTTTATTTGGTCTATTGCATTCACGGATGTAAAGCTTCTATGTAATTTGTTAAACTCAAAGCAGGTTTTAGTGCTCAGTGCTGTTTATGACAGATAAAATTTTATCCTAGCTCTGAAATAATTTTCCATACTGTGATTCAATTAAAGTCTTTATAGAAACTCCCTAATGAAATTACTGAGGCACTAACCAGAAAAATGAGTTAACTTTTTCCTTCTAAAATAGGACAGTAGGGACCTCCCTAGTGGCACAGTAGTTAAGGATCCGCCTGCCAGTGCAGGGGACACAGGTTTGAGCCGTGGTCAGGGAAGATCCCACATGCTGCGGAGAAGCTGAGCCAGGGCACCACAACTACTGAGCCCGTGAGCCACAACTACTGAGCCCATACGCCACAACTACTGAAGCCCGTGCACCTAGAGCCCATGCTCTGCAACAAGAGAAGCCACAGCAATGAGGAGTGTGCCCACCGCAATGAAGAGTAGCCCCCCGCTTGCCGCAACTAGAGAAAGTCCGTGTGGAGCAACGAAGACCTAATGCAGCCAAAAATAAATAAATAAATAAATTTATTTTAAAAATATAAAATAAAATAGGACAGTAGGAATATATGTAGGAGCTTATAATCACATATCACTCTCATGGCAAACTATTGAAAATCCATTTTCTCTTTTACTGAGGTGTCCTGATGGTTACTTGTGTGTGCCCAGAGCCAGAAAGACACTTTTATCTCAGTGAATTTCCCAAAATGGAAATATTTTTGTGTAATATTGATTCATGTCTGTCTAGCCAAAGATGTGTTTTCCATCTAGCAAGGAACATCAGCCCCGAGTTATAGAGGACAAACCTCTCCAAAGACATCCTGTCTGCCGAGCCCTGAAAAAGGATACAGACAGACAAGTCAGCCAGCGTTCACAGTTAAGAGAAAAACATCTGTGCCTTGGAAAACGTTCTCAAGTATAGAGCATTGTGCTCTGTGTCCACCAAATTTCCATGCAGTCTTTGTAAGAGTAGCCAGCCAATGGATAAGGCCCCTCATCTTCCTTCATGGGTGGTCAAGGAAATTCTCTGCCTTCCCCAGGAGCAGCTGCATAATTGTTATTTCTGCCTCGTGGAAATAAGGTGGCTGATAAGGCACTTGGGGTTTGTTCTTAACAGAAGGAAAGAATATTTGATTTTTTAAAGTATGTGTTTTGATTCGCAGAATGATCCAAAACAATATACTTCTTTGTACTTTGGTTTTTCCCTTTAAAAGCTTACAGATGGATGAAGTCATTTAAAACTGCCTTATGTGAGGTATAAACACAAGGCATGGAAGTGAAAACTCTTGAGTTTACTTACCTAGATGGTCACCATTATCTGGGATGATTGACGTTCTATAAGAAGCCCAGGTTCCATTTTCCTGGAAGTGGGCTTTTATCAGACGAGCAAGAGCCCGTCCTAAGTGACTTGTCAGCTCTCTTCTAAGACCACCTGTTTTGCTTGTTTTCAAGCAAATTACAAATATTTATAAGACATTTAATGTCCTAGAAGAGGACTTGCTGATGATTCGATAAAAGTGCCAGCATTATTACTGTTCCCTAATCATATGGATTTTTGTGTTCTTATGACCAAGGAGGCACATCTTTAGCTTGCTGAAATAGTCACTGGAGAACGTGCAGTGAAATCCATGAGTGGAAATGTCCCATAGTAATTTCAAACACTGTGTGTCAGTAGATTGGCATCTTTTCCTCTTGGGGACTCACTTGAGGGTGGCCAGGGGGAACCCAGCAGCCATACATAGGGTGCACGCTGGAGCAGCTGAAACAGTGTTTCCAGTTCCTTGTCTGCCAGGGAGCTCTCGTGCCTTATCTCTAAAGTTTGGCTAAAATCAACTACCTTACAGTCTCATTTTAAGGATAAAATTAAACAAAACATGAAGGGCTTTGAAACCTCCTGAAGACTATTCCTGTGTGAGGTATTGTCTACCTAAGCTATGAAAATAAGCCTGAACCCAAAATAAAAGGAACAGTAGACTTCTGCAGCCTGAGAGAATTTTATTAAATCCTAGTCCCCTTTAAAAATTGTTTCTTGCTTTAAATTTAGAAAATTGTTTTGGGTTGAGTAATAGTTTCTGACAGTTAGTATGTATGATCTCTTAGCCAATTAAATTCTGAATCT